TATACTACTCTAATTCTTACTATTGGTATGATTCTCTAATTCTTATTATTGGTATACTTCTCTAATATGGGGACTTAAGCCTTAAACTCTACATTTAAAGTCAGTCATGAGTTGTATTTAAACATGTAGATTAATTATTGACGCCACATTATCTTTGTGTTTAGCATGAGACATTTGTGTCCTATTTGTTGTAACCCTCAATGAGTCAATCAAAGCTGTGTCTTGTCTTGTCTTGTCTTGTCTTGTCTTGTCTTGCCAGTTCAATCATCGGTTGCTTTCGTCTCGTGACCTAGTTGGACGAGATGCGATGCATCAATCGTTTCTAGGGACGTTTTAGTCCCCATCTGTTCACAGTAGAAAGGATTTTGTCAACCGTAACACTGATTGGGCTCAACTTGCATTCTTGAATGTTTGTTTGTTTGTTTGCTTGTTTTTGCAACTCTACACGTGTCAATAGCTAAGCTGTGTGTTGGGATATGGTGTAACATGTTGTCATATATTGTATGTTGTGATTAACTTTGTGCGTTATAAAATGAATTGATGTTACAATTTACTATTTTGTTGTAAGTTGTGATATGGAGATGTATGTTGTGATAAGTTGTATGTTGTAATATTATGTTTTATTTTATGATATGACTTTTTATATGGCATTGTTTATTGAAATATGATGTTGTGTGTTGTCATATGATATTGCATCTTAAGATCAGATGATGTATGATGATTTTGTGTTTTCATATGATGCTGTATGTTGTAATATGATGATGTTTGTTGTGTGTTGTGATATGATATTGCATGTTGTAATATAATGTTTGTTTGTGGTGATAGATGTTGTATGTTGTAATAAAATGTTGTATTTTGTTACATGATGTTGTATGTTGGGATACGATGTTGTATATTGTGATACGATGGTGTATATTGTGATACGATGTTGCATATTGTGATACGATGTTGCATATTGTGATACGATGTTGTATATTGTGATACGATGGTGTATATTGTGATACGATGTTGCATATTGTGATACGATGTTGCATATTGTGATACGATGTTGCATATTGTGATACGATGTTGCATATTGTGATACGATGTTGTATATTGTGATACGATGGTGTATATTGTGATAAGATTTTGTATGTTGTAATATGATGTTTTATGTTGTAATATGATGTATGTTGTGATAAGATCTTGTATGTTGTAATATGATGTTGTATGTTGTGATTAGATGTATAATGTAATAAGATGTCTTGTGTCTTGTGGTGTCATACATTGCATTTTATATTTTGTATGCTAGAGTATATTCTCGTATAGTGTTATTGCTGTCTGTACGGTATGCTAGAGTATATTCTCGTAAAGTGTTATTGCTGTCTGTACCTGTTTGTACCTGTTCGTACCTAGCTGTCTTATTTGTTAAGTTTGTTTGATGTACTTGCATATTGGATTTATATTACTTTTTAATTCCTTTATGTTGCTATGTTTTTGGGTTGTATGTTGATGTCTGTTTATAAACTATGGTTTTATGTTGTATGTTTTATGTACGAATGTTGTATTATGATTTATATTATTGTATGACTTGGCACATGTTGTATTATGGTGTATGATACTACATGTGTTTTATGATGTTGCATGTGTTGTATGATGTTACATGTGTTTTATTATGTTGTATCCGATAGTGGCTAACTCTCGATACCACGTGTTCATCTTGAGACTTGCGGAAGGCGCACTTTGGCATTTGATGGCCCAACAATTTGGAACACACTTCCTGTCGCGCTCAGAAACACCCAGACACTGGAGTCCTTCAAAATTGATTTGAAAACACATCTATTTCGCAAACAACTGCTGGGGTGATGTTGTCTACCATCTTTTCCAGCTAGCTATTATCTCCTAGGTGTATATTGGCCTGTGTTGTTTATGGTTGCAATGGATGAAAGACTTGGAATATGCATTCTAGTGTGTAGTTTTTGTAATGTTGCGTTTTTTTAATTTCAATATTGTATAATATAGATGTTTTTCATTTCTCTTTGAATATGGTTGATTTTGTCACCGCGCTTCGAGACTTGGGGGATTGTCAAATAAACTGTATTATTATTATGTGAGAGATGTTGTATGTGTTTGATTATGGTTCATGTCATGTATGATATCTCGTGTGTTTTTTATGTTGCGTGATATTGTTTGATTTTGTATGATGCTGCATGATGTGGTATGATTTTGTATGATGTTGTATGATGTTTCATGATGTTGTATCATGTTGTAAGTTGTTGCATATGTCATATGATGACCAGCACTACTTGCTTCTCTGCCAACGAAAAACTCAAAGAACAAAACAGAAGACAAATCTGTCAAATATTTCAGTTTGATTTTATTATATTTCTATTTTGTAAACAATATTTATAAATACTACTTGCTTAGATAGTAATCAATGAAAACACTATTTTAAAAAAAATCTGCCCTCGTCACACCCGCCCCTTTCTGATGTACAGCCACATTTTTAAAAAGTTATAATTAAAAACACCTGTCTTTATATAGTAATATATTCTCGATCGAATGTTAAAGGACCGACTGACCAGCTAATCTGCATTCAGATGTTAAATGGGAAAACAAATAGATTCTATATTATTTTTAGACTTTACAATAAGTGCAGTGGCAAAGAGCAAGCGATGCTGTTGGGATGTTCGTGTAGATGTGGAAGTCATTGGAGATGATGTCATGGCTATGGCTAATCAGGGACGTAATTTCCGATGGTGTTGCGAGGGACGCTTAATTCAAACGCTACCACGTTGGTTCGAGACACAGAATAATCTTGTAATTTTTTGTTGGTACATTGTTTCGTTTACTTTATCCTGAAATTCATTCGAGGAAAAAAAAAAGGCTTTAACTTTATTTGCTCTTGTCTGTTAATAAAACAAAAATAAAACAACATTCTACAATTGATCGGTAAGAACTCTAGGAATCAGAAGTGGGCACGTGATTAGGCTTTAGATTGGATAGCAGGGAAAGAGATAGTTGAAAGAGGGAGAAGAGAGGGGAGAGAGGGAAAGTAAGAGGAGAGGGAGAAAGAGTGGGATATGGGAGAGAGGGGAAAAGTGGAGAAAGAGGAGGGCAAAAGGGAGAGGACGCAGAGAGGGATAAAGAGGTGAGAAAGCGGGAGAGAAAGAGGGGAGAAGTGAGAGAGTGAGAGGGGAAGAGGGGGAGAAAACGGAGAGCGGGGAGAGAGAGGAGGCTAATGTGAAAGGTTGAGGAACAGTAAGTAATATTGAGGGGGAGAAATGACGCGCAAAACAATGTTTTTGAGAGGTACAGATGGACAAAAGAGAGGAGCAGTGAGAGGTACAGATGGACAAAAGAGAGGAGCAGTGAGAGGTACAGATGGACAAAAGAGAGGAGCAGTGAGAGGTACAGATGGACAAAGAAATATAAGAAAACAAATGAGGCAGGGTGAGCGTTAGAGAAAGAGATAGCTTGAGAGGTTAAGCTATGCAAAGAGAGGAGCAGTGAGCGGTTAAGCTGTGCAGAGAGAGAGGAGCAGTGAGAGGTTAAGTTGTGCAAAGAGAGGAGCAGTGAGAGGTTAAGTTGTGCAGAGAGAGAGGAGCAGTGAGAGGTTAAGCTGTGCAGAGAGAGAGGAGCAGTGAGAGGTTAAGTTGTGCAAAGAGAGGAGCAGTGAGAGGTTAAGTTGTGCAAAGAGAGGAGCAGTGAGAGGTTAAGTTGTGCAAAGGGAGGAGCAGTGAGAGGTTAAGTTGTGCATAGAGAGGAGCAGTGAGAGGTTAAGCTGTGCAAAGAGAGGAGCAGTGAGAGGTTAAGTTGTGCAAAGAGAGGAGCAGTGAGAGGTTAAGTTGTGCAAAGAGAGGAGCAGTGAGAGGTTAAGTTGTGCATAGAGAGGAGCAGTGAGAGGTTAAGCTGTGCAAAGAGAGGAGCAGTGAGAGGTTAAGTTGTGCAAAGAGAGGAGCAGTGAGAGGTTAAGTTGTGCAAAGAGAGGAGCAGTGAGAGGTTAAGTTGTGCATAGAGAGGAGCAGTGAGAGGTTAAGCTGTGCAAAGAGAGGAGCAGTGAGAGGTTAAGTTGTGCAAAGAGAGGAGCAGTGAGAGGTTAAGTTGTGCAAAGAGAGGAGCAGTGAGAGGTTAAGTTGTGCAGAGAGAGGAGCAGTGAGAGGTTAAGTTGTGCAAAGAGAGGAGCAGTGAGAGGTTAAGTTGTGCAAAGAGAGGAGCAGTGAGAGGTTAAGCTGTGCAAAGAAAGGAGCAGTGAGAGGTTAAGCTGTGCAAAGAGAGGAGCAGTGAGAGGTTAAGCTGTGCAAAGAGAGGAGCAGTGAGAGGTTAAGCTCTGCATAGAGAGGAGCAGTGAAAGAAATAGTATAAATTGGGAAATGAAAAATATGTGATGTTCTCTGTGCTGTAGTAACTTACTATGTCATGTTCACTGTGATGTAGTAACTTACTATGTGATGATCACTGTGCTGTAGTAACTTACTATGTTATGTTCACTATGCTGTAGTAACTTACTATGCAGTGTTCCCTGTGCTGTAGTAACTTACTATGTAATGTTCACTATGCTGTAGTGACTTACTATGTCATGTTCCCTGTGATGTAGTAACTTACAATGTGATGTTCCATGTGCTATAGTAACTTACTATGTCATGTTCCCTGTGCTGTAGTAACTTACTATGTGATGATCACTGTGCTGTAGTAGCTTACTATGCCATGTTCCCGTGCTGCAGTAACTTACTATGCCATGTTCCCTGTGCTGTAGTTACTTACTTTGTTGATTTCCACTTCCATTGCCATAGTGATCCATCCCGTACCCCGCCTGGCCCTGTCCCGACATATCATGGACCACTGACTGACCCTGTCCCGACATATCATGGACCACTGACTGACCGTACATTCCTTGCTGTTGTAGGGCCATCCCAGAGGTGTGAGCAGGGGAGGTCAGTACTGAACCGTATTGACCAGTGGTTGCCACACCTTGCTGACTGACAAACTGGTCACCACCACCTGAAGTTGCTGAGGCTTGCGCTGGATGTTGTGCTATGGTTAGTTGCTGGGCGTTGGACTTCTGGCTTACGGTTTGCTGTATGACAGACGATGGCTGTTGGTTGATTGTAACAGATGGGTGGACTAAGCTAGGGGAGGTAAGTATAGAGGACCCAGATTGAATGCTTGTGGAATCTGAAAGATAGCCCCCAGTGGAACCTCCTAGGCTGCCAGACGAACCTGTCTGGAGGTCAGTTGAACCTCCTGAACCTGTGTGGAAGACGGATGTACCTGTGTTATGAAGGCCAGTGGTATCAATGTGCAAGTCTGAGCCTGCAGACGCAGATGCAACAGTTGACGCTATCAGACGATTGGATGGGATGGCGGATCCTCCATTGATTGAAGATTGGCCAATCGTTTGATGGTGTGGTTCATTTGAAAAGAATCCGCTTAGCGTCATTTGATCATAGCCTTGGTTAGTACTGCCTGCTGGGACGGACGGTAGTTGGACGGGATCATTACCGAGGACGTGGTGACCACTGCTAGCCGTGTTCTGGCTACTCTGCGCGTCATGAGACGACTGACTCCGAGGGAAAGTCTGTTGTTTTATTGGCTGCTGATACAGATCTTGAGGAGCTGGTTGGTCGTACTGTTGCAGGTAGTCTTGTTGCTGGTGGACCGAGTGGTGCGGGTGTTGTTGCTGGTGGACCGAGTGGTGCGGGTTTTGCTGGGGTTCCCTGGGGTTCTGCCATTGAACGTTATCTTGCTGCAGGACACGTGACTGCTTTTGCGGCTGTACTTGCTGCAAGGACAGGCTGTCCTGCTGGCGCCGTGAAAAACTCTGCTGCTTACGCTGGAGCTGTATGGGCTGTTCGTCATAGAGTGAGGACTGCTGTTCTTGAAGCTGTCGTCGCTGCAGCTGTATCTGAAGCTGTTGTCTCTCCAGAACGTTCTGCTGTTTTTGTAAGCCCTCTAAACTTTGGTAGCGCTCAGGAATGGTTGCATCACTAAATCCTGCATCTTGAAGCCTAAATCTTCGCGCGGACTCGGTCTGACTGGAGTCTCTCAGACGCAAACCTGTGAGATTTATACACGAAGAGTTGGTTTTAGTTTGTTCAGAAGAAGAGTTACATGATGTATAAGAGTTGTATGGTGTAATAATTAATTGTTAAAAAATTACCCACAAATTTCATTGAAATAATTTGCTCATCCATGATCCCTTATCTTATATATATTAAGCTTCTGGTAGACTACTTCCATTTCCGACTGCTTCCTAACAAGCTGGCTGCTTCCTGTTCTGCCGTCGCCAATGTTTGCCAAGTTATAACTAGTTTACAATAATATAATTATATGCCTAGCTTTGAAACACAAAGGAAACAAGTAAAACGATGAACATTTTGACGATTTTAAAATTAACTATCCTAGCTTTTATATATAGATATCAATCAAATGATGAATAATTCGTTCTATGTGTTATGTGAGACCAAAAGAGTAGTGTAAGTAAAGTGCAGTATATACGACAGCTGGCATTCGGAAGTCATGGAAAGTAAGACTTAGTAAATAGGCATCATAGGAATAGTACGTCACAATAGTCAAACACGGCAAAACTGACAGTCAAAAAATATGTCAGATGTCATCAATCACCTAACCATTCCTGTCATGTAGACTGTTAGGGCGATGATAAGCCAATGTGGATCTTCTGGTCGAATTGTCAAGTCGAGATGAAACATAAATTAATGCAGGGAAGGTCACCTCGTGGACATGAACACTTTTATAACGAGTTGTTCTTCCCTGCTCTCTGTGAGCTTACAATATGGTGGCATTTATTGACTTGTCATTGGAAAATATCTTTTTATAAATTAAGTAAATGGTAAAATAGTTTACATCACGTATGTTGCTCTTTAAAAAAAAACAATAATTTTTTTTTTTAAAACATCCCAAAAAACAGTGAACTTTCGTTTCCACCAGAATATTTTTTAGTTAATACTTAAAGAAATGTTCATTCACCAATTCAATAAAAAATATTTGTACATAATGAAGAAAAACAAAATGACATATTTTGTTTACTCAATGTGAATGAATCAGTCCGATATACTTCACCACTAAAGACTACGCCCCCCCCCCACACACCCACACACTTTCACACGCTAAACCCAACTCCAAAATGGCAGTTGATGTAGGATAGATGTAAGAAGAAAAATGAGTAGGACTACTTACTGTCAAATTTAACTGACTGCTGCGGTGTTAGGTTAATCTGAAATGGAATAGGCAGAAGAAACAATGTCACGCTAAATGTGCTCCCATCAATTCATTGGCACTTTTCGTTAGTGCAATGATTCATTGCTCATTGATAAACTGGGCTTAACATAACGGTTATGCTTCAATAATATAAGCCTTCACTTTTTCTTTTTGTCACAAAAATGAATATATATCAGATGACTACTGAAGCAAACTGTCCCTGTAAGGTAGGCCTTTTGTTTAACTGACACCAGGAAACGTTAAACACAATGGCTTGAGTCCTGCAGGAACACATGGGAGCCACGTTCTTGTGCTTTTGTGCTAAGAAGTAAATACATATTGATTTCGACAAAAGGGGTGAGGTATGGAATCTTGGTTTAGCCACAACCTGCGTAGCCACAACCTGATTAGCTTAAACCCCAGAAGTTACAACCTGATTAGTCACAACCTATGTATCAACAAACTGAAAACCCACAAAATGAGTAGCTACAACCTGAGTAGCCTCAAACTAGGTAGCCACTAATCAAATAGCCCTAACCTGAGTTGCTAAAAAGGAGTAGCCACAACTTAAGAAGCCACAACATTGGGTAGCCGCAGACCGAGTAGGCACAACGCGGATTGTAACAATCTGAGTAACCACAACCCGAGCAACCACAACCTGCTTAGCCACCACCTGAGTAATCACTTCCCGGGCAACCATAACCTGCTTAGCCACCACCCGAGTAATCACTTCCCGGGCAACCATAACCTGCTTAGCCACCACCCGAGTAATCACTTCCCGGGCAACCACAACCTGCTTAGCCACCACCTGAGTAATCACTTCCCGGGCACCCATAACCTGCTTAGCCACCACCTGAGTAACCACAACCCGAGCAGCCATAAGCTGCTTAGCCACCAACTGAGTAATCACAACCCGAGCAGCCATAACCTGCTTAGCCACCAACTGAGTAATCACAACCCGAGCAGCCATAACCTGCTTAGCCACCACCTGAGTAATCACAACCCGAGCAGCCATAACCTGCTTAGCCACCACCTGAGTAACCACAACCCGAGCAGCCATAACCTGCTTAGCCACCACCTGAGTAATCACAACCCGAACAGCCATAACCTGCTTAGCCACCAACTGAGTAATCACAACCCGAGCAGTCATAACCTGCTTAGCCACCAACTGAGTAACCACAACCCGAACAGCCATAACCTGCTTAGCCACCACCTGAGTAACCACAACCCGAACAGCCATAACCTGCTTAGCCACCACCTGAGTAACCACAACCCGAGCAGCCATAAGCTGCTTAGCAAACCACCTGAGTAATCACAACCGGGATTGAATATATTCGAATATCCCAATGGCTACTTAGAATTTGGATATTTACTAACAATTTCGATGAATACTTACGAAGGTTGGTGACTGTTTGTTGTTGAGCTGGAGTCCACTCAGGTTATCAACACCACTTGGTCTTGGTATTCTCTACACAAGTATGGAATACAAATAAATGCTAAAGTTAGAAACTCAAATATTTGCCTGACAAATAATGGATAAATTATCAGACAACCTCACTAGGACCATAATACAACATGTGCCAAGTCATACAATAATATAAATCATAATACAACATTCGTACATAAAACATACAACATAAAACCATAGTTTATAAACAGACATCAACATACAACCCAAAAACATAGCAACATAAAGGAATTAAAAAGTAATATAAATCCAAGGACGTCAAGGTTCATTATATAGGATGATTTAGACAACCTCACTAGGAAGTCAAAGTTCATCATATAGGATGATTTAGACAACCTCACTAGGAAGTCACAGTTCATCATATAGGATGATTTAGACAACCTCACTGGGGAGTTAAGGATCATCATATAGGATGATTTAGACAAACTCACTAGGAAGTCAAGGTTCATCATATGGGATGATTTAGACAACCTCACTAGGCAGTCAAGGTTCATCATATGGGATGATTTAGACAATCTCACTAGGAAGTCAAGGTTCATCATATGGGATGATTTAGACAACCTCACTAGGAAGTCAAGCTTCATCATATAGGATGATTTAGACAAACTCACTAGGAAGTCAATGTTCATCATATAGGATGATTAAGACACCCTCAATATGAAGTCAAGGTTCATCATATAGGATGATTTAGACAACCTCACTAGGAAGGCAAGGTTCATCATATAGGATGATTTAGACAAACTCACTAGGAAGTCAAGGTTCATCATATGGGATGATTTAGACAATCTCACTAGGAAGTCAAGGTTCATCAAATGGGATGATTTAGACAACCTCACTAGGAAGTCAAGCTTCATCATATAGGATGATTTAGACAAACTCACTAGGAAGTCAATGTTCATCATATAGGATGATTAAGACACCCTCAATATGAAGTCAAGGTTCATCATATAGGATGATTTAGACAACCTCACTAGGAAGGCAAGGTTCATCATATAGGATGATTTAGACAAACTCACTAGGAAGTCAATGTTCATCATATGGGATGATTTAGACAACCTCACTAGGAAGTCAAGGTTCATCATATACGATGATTTAGACAACCTCACTAGGAAGTCAAGGTTCAGCATACAGGATGATTTAGACAACCTCACTAGGAAGTCAAGGTTCAGCATATAGGATGATTTAGACAACCTCACTAGGAAGTCAAGGTTTATGATAAAGGATTATTTAGACAACCTCACTAGGATGTCAAGGTTCATCGTATATGATGATTTAGACAACCTCACTATGAAGTCAAGGTTCATTATAAAGGATGATTTAGACAACCTCACTAGGAAGTCAAGGTTCATCTTATAGGATGATTTAAACAACCTCACTAGGACGTCAAGGTTCATCCTACAGGATGATTTAGACAACCTCACTAGGAAGTCAAGGTTCATCATATAGGATGATTTAGACAACCTCACTAGGAAGTCAAGGTTCATCATATAGGATGATTTAGACAACCTCACTAGGAAGTCAAGGTTCATCATATAGGATGATTTAGACAACCTCACTAGGAAGTCAAGGTTCATCATAAAGGATGATTTAGACAACCTCACTAGGAAGTCAAGGTTCATCATATTGGATGATTTAGACAACCTCACTAGGAAGT